CCTCCTCCTCCTCTTCCTCCTCCTCCACTCAGCCTATAAGAGGCTGCTGAGCAGGAAGGAGTCCTCCGGCACACACACCTCCAGAAGCCACTTCCAGGTGCTCATCTGCTTCTGTCGGATCATACAAATATAGATCACACATATAATCTGCTGGATCTGCTCAGTGTGCGTGTGTGTGCGCGCGTGTGTGTGTGTTGCAGATCCTCACAGATTCAGACGTGTCTTCTCATGATGGTGGAGATCCAGCAGCGGAGGCGGCTCCTGAATCTGCAGCTGAAAACACACACAGATCCACATCCAGCAGACCTCTGAGCCACAGATACTCCGCTCCGGCTGAGCTCTACCAGGTCTGACTGGAGCATGCCTTTACATGCTGGAGACACACACTAGTGTATTATTAGTACACAGTATTATTTAATCAGTTATTAAAACTGTTCTGTTTAAAAATGCGCAGAAACAAGTCTTCTCTCCATTAAACAGAAATTGTGGATCAAAGTATGCATGAGGGCTGATAATTCTGACTTCAACTACATCTACAGAGAAATAGAATGTTTCTTAATTAGTCTTTATTTTTCAGGATGCATGCACATCATTTCCAGAGGCCAGACCCACAATGCCATGCGCCACAAGCTCTCTGTCGGCAGATGGGACGGGGAGGTGTGTGTCGTCAGACAGCGGTGAGGAGCGACCGCAGCAGGATCCTGCATCAGTGACCGGTCCTGCGTCTGACCTGATGAAGCGCGCTGTAGCGTTCCTGCGCAGATCCACTCACAGCAGCAGTGTACAGAGCTCCGATTCCCCCTCCGGACCTGTGGCCAACGGACACGCCCCCTCTTCCACCAGCCACGCCCATGCCGCCACTAGCCACACCCCCTCTGCCTACATCAGCAGCGATAATGACTCAGAGTTTGAGGATGCGGATATGAAGAGAGAGCTGCAGAAGCTGAGAGAGAAGTGAGTTACTGACACAATCATTTATGAGGGATGGAGCAGATCCAGGAGGTTGTTATCGCAGAATAAAGCCTGACAGCAGCCCGATGTGAAGCTAGATGGAGACAGTCAGAAACAGCTGATGGAGTATACACTAACCTGCACATTATTCAGACACTAGATGGCGCCAAACAGTCGAAAACAGCTGACTAGAATATAAATATGAATGTAGATCTAAGTTTGATGCTTCAGCTAAGTTATTTTTAGCCATGTCCTACTTATTCTTAACCACACCTCTTTTATGGGAATGTTGTGCAGTAGAAAGCCCCGCCCCCTACTCAATATTCAGTTCCAGTTGGAAGCACTGTACATCAATATACTGAAATAAAAATACTTTACATTTGATCTCGTTACATAACATTTTTAGACACGTGTTATGTTGCGATTGAAGCATGTGTGTGTGTGTGTTTGTGTGTGTGTGTGCGCGCAGACACATGAAGGAGATCTCAGAGCTCCAGGCCCATCACCGAGGAGAGATCGAGCAGCTGTATTCCCGCTTGGGTCGGCCTGTTCCGGCCAGCGTGGGTTTCCTGCATGCAGCGCCACCTACAGGCCGACGCCGCAGAACCTCCAAACACAAGCTAAAGGGAAGCCGGCTGCTTAATCCCATGGTGCAACAGCTGAGGACCAACCGCAGCACCAGCTCCAGTATGTATGCTGACCAGTGAGAGGGGTCTGGCTGCAGACCTGGTGCAGTGCAATCTGGGCTGCAGCTAATGCTTTTTAATGGGCTCACCTAACCCCACCCCTAACCCCACCCCTCACAGTGATGTCACTCACTATATTGAGTGCATTGTGTCTGACATTGCATCGCTGAGTGATGCAATCTCAGCTTGCATCATAAAGGCTGCATCCAGATACTATTCAAAGCTTCAAGCGTTTGTGTTAGCAACACCTGCTGGTCAAAACTTGTAATTACAACTAAAACTTAAGCAAAACATGCATTAGAGTTGACTATTCCCTATCACATCATTAACTGTGCATGCATGTGTGTGTCGTCCTGCAGCAGAGACGTGCTCCAGTGTGTCGGGGTCTCCTCTGAAGAGTTCTGTGGTCAGCAGCAGCTCTATGGGCTCCAGCAGCACTGTTACTCTGAGCCCCGTGTCGGAGCCGCTGCAGCCGGTGCAGACCCAGCAGCCCTGCTCGCTCAAGGGCTCCCTGTCCTCCGACAACATCTACAGCCCCGCCACACACACACCGCAGACACAAGGTGAACACACACACACACTGAGCTCACACTGCTGGCTGTAAACCGTCCTCACTGTATGCAGCCTGCAGAAACACACTCGCAGACAATCACTAGCAAACCACACACTGCAATAAGGCCTTTCTTACCCAGGGTTTTTGTCTAGTTTCTAGTCCAAATGTTTCAAAACTCTTAAATCAAGAAGCTTTTTCTAGACAAGCACTAAATATTGTGTTGATTTCAGAAATAATGAGTCAAAATTAAGAGAGTTGCTCCTTAAAATAAGCTAAATAATCTGCCAATGGGGTGAGTAACGCAGGGCTGAGCAATATATAGTATGAGCATCAATACTGCAATGTGTGTGTACACAATAGTCACATCGCAGGATTCGATTATTTATCAAAGATTAAAAGATAAAGATATTATTAAATATTATTTTTAAACATATTTATTTAATGATGACCATGTTATTGTACATTTGTGTGTTCAATGTTTGTTAGACTCCCCTGTTAGAAAGCACTGTTTATATACACTGACCGGCCACTTTATTAGGTACACCTCACTTGTACCAGGTTAGCCCCTTTTGCCTTCAGATCTGCCTTAATCCTTCATGGCGTAGATTCAGCAAGCTACTGGAAATATTCCTCAGAGATTTTGCTCCATATTGTCATGATAGCATCACACAGTTGCTGCAGATTTGTCGGCTGCACATCCATGATGCCAATCTCCCGTTCCACCACATCCCAAAGCTGCTCTATTGGATTGAGCTCTGGTGACTGTGGAGGCCATTTGAGTACAGTGAACTCATCGTCATGTTCAAGAAACCAGTCTGAGATGATTGAGCTTGATGACATGCTGCGTTATCCTGCTGGAAGTAGCCATCAGAAGATGGAGACACTGTGCTCATAAAGGGATGGACATGGTCAGCAGCAATACTCAGGTAGGCTGTGGCGTTGATGCTCAATTGGTACTAATGGACCCAAAGAAAATCTCCCCCACACCATTACACCACCACCACCAGCCTGAACCGCTGATACAAGGCAGGATGATCCATGCTTTCATGTTGTTGAGGGCAGATTGTGAGCCGAGCATCCGAATGTGTCAGCAGAAATGGAGACTCATCAGAGCAGCAACGTTTCTCCAATCTTCTATTGTCCAGTTTTGGTGAGTCTGTGTGAATTGTAGCCTCAGTTTCCTGTTCTTAGCTGACAGGAGCGGCACCCGGTGTGCTCTTCTGCTGCTGTAGCCCATCCGCCTCAAGGTTGGCCGTGTTGTGTGTTCAGAGATGCTCTTCTGCAGAGCTCGGTTGTAGCGAGTGCTTATTTGAGTTACTGTTGTCTTTCTATCAGCTGGAACCAGTCTGGTGCTTGTGTTAACAAACAGTTAGACAGGTGTACCTAATAAAGTGGCCAGTGAGTATATGCTTGTAATTTATTAGATATTATGCAAATGCACAGATTAGAAAAATACTAAGTTGATCTAAATGAATGCAATCTTTCCAAACAGAGCTGTTTAAATTATCTGGTCAAACTACATTCATATTGCAATATGCAGTGCAGCAAAATAAAATATAGCAATGGCAGATTTTTGCAATACCGTGCAGCTCTAGAGTACAGTAATGCGTGTGTTGTTTAATTTAGTCTCCCCCTGTGGCTGTTTAAGGAACTGCAACAATCACGGCTCTCTGAAAACAACCAATCGGGGTTTTATTAATTAAATAACTGCAGTAATCTAGTTATTTTACAACTCTGATCAACACAAACAGAATGCAACACTGATTTATTGCTCACCAATAGGCCGCAGCAGGACAGTCATTAATAATGTATATTTTCAGAAGACTCTCTGCGCTGTGTGTTATATTCTAGACTATCACATCTCTCTGTGTTTGTCACACGTTATATCACTCACTCAGTCACTCACACGCATGGGGCTATTCTCAGTCTCATGTGCGCTCACTCATTAACTGCGTTTAAATGGAGTCGGACAGAATGTGGCATTTAAACGGCTGCTTAACTGTTTGGTCACGCGACATTATTTCATGAACAGCAAATGAAGGATTGCATGAGGCTCATACAGTGTCGGAAACATCATTCCTATGGGTCAGCACACACTTTCACACATGATTGGCTCTGTTTTAGTGATATATGGTCTGAAGCGGATGGTCCGGATAATACACTTGTGTTATTTTAAGGATGGGAAAAATAGTCAGTGCACCAGGCGCATGATCTAAGATGGTTCTCATTTTCCTAATCAATTATGGGTGTGTTTTGGGCATACTCTTCATTAAAACAATCAAAATCTCATATACCTTTAAAAGCGAGTTGTCCTCGCGTCATGGCAGATTTACATAGCAGACTTTGTAATCGGAAAAACTCAACGCTTCACTAGCAAGGATAACAAATACCAGGTTAACGCCTGCAGACCAACCAGTTTCTTTTTTACACAGACAATAATAACCCTTTACATTTTAAGACTTATATTTTTCATATTTAAATGTATTTACACCACTGTCTGGGGTCAGTTTTATTATTATTTTCAGGTTTTTTTATTCTGTTTATAAAGACAGCATTTATTAAATGTAAAAAAAAAATAAATTATTAAATATTTATTCAAATTGTAAATAACTGCTTTCTTATTGTATGTAGTTTCAAATTAAAATATTACTCTAGTCATTATTGCTTTTATTACTATAAAAATTAATAATAATTAAAGTATTAATAACTATAATAATGAATATTAGAGTGATTTCTGAAGGATCATGTGGCTCTGAAGACTGGAGTATTGAAGCTGAATATTCTGCATTAAAATCACTGTAATAAATGATTAAATTAATTTATTAACTACTTTTGAACAGCTATTTTCAGTGCAATAACATGTCACTATTTTACAATGTGTACTGTATTACTGATTAAATAAATGCAGCCTTGCTGAGCAGGAGAACATTTACAAATCCCACTGACCCCACACTTTTGACCAGTATATGCTGCTGTGCATCCCTGCATGTGTAATAAGCAACATGTATGACCGTTTTGGACCTGTTTATCACTAATTTGCTCTTTAAAAAACAGACAAAAACTTGCACCATTGACTTTAGAGCAGATTATAGTTGGTCAGTGGCCTATTGCAGTAACTCAAAATATCTACACACACCTTCACACATGTGTTTTTCAGAACAGCACACCTACGGGTGCAAAAAATGGGCGCAAATGCATGTACTATTTAAACAATGTGTGCAAGGCTAAAACTAGTAAAAAAACACCTGCCGACAGGTTTATAATCTAATTAATTGCAAACCTCGTCAACATTATTAGACGCACATGCTCAGGGACTGATGTGAGTCGTAGTTCTAGCGTCCATGTTTAAACTGTGTTCGCTAGTGTTTAGTTTATCTTAAAGGACTGAGGCGAACTCTCTGCTGCTTCAGTATGGCCATAAAATAAATGAATATAAATAAACAATAATAAACTGAGGTCAAACTCACACTGGTGGCACTGATTAAACCTCACAGTCAGCAGCTGTGAGGAGATCATGCTCATATGCTGTAGTTTATGCTGTTGTGGCGTCATTAAAATAGAAACTATCTGCATAGCCACTGCACATGTTTAGGACGAAAAGAGAATTGAATCAGCCCAAAACTCTCATTTCGGTGCATCCCTGACTACAAGTAATGCAAGTTAAAGGTACTGTAATCTGATTTCTTATTTTAAAGTAACTATTGCTACTTTTTAATTTGCACAAAAATATCTGTTACTCAATTAAATAAAATAATGCAAATTAAATGCACTTCATTAAAAAGATGGCATATTTAGTTACTTTTGAAAAAGCAATGCAAGATTGTAATATACAGTGCACTAACAGTTCTAAAGGTAACATTTATGCAAGGTCAAGTGAATCTGTGTAAAAAGGAAAATGTGTGCTGACATGCTGAGCATGCACAGAGTCTGACACACTGTCTTGAAGAAGAGTGACAGGCTATGTAACCAATCAGCAATCAGCAGTGGGTCTAGCTCCGCCCTCTAGTATTGTAACTTTCCCCAACACTTATGCAAGGGCAAGTAAATCTATAGAGGTGTACTAACTTGCCTAAAGAACCGGGTTCCATGTGTGAAAGTGTACAATGACACATACAGACGAGTGTTCAATTGATGTAAGATTGATCTGAGCAGCATTGCCATTGTTAGAAGCACACAGACACATGTACACATCCGCATTACCTGCTCTTATCTGAGACGCTTAACCTGTGTCGTGCTGTTGCTGATTTAATGCTTGTTGATGGGGATCTGATCTGACCGCTGCCTGTGTTGGCTGTTACACCTGTCTCTCTCTCTCTCTCTCTCTCTCTCTCTCTCTCTCTCTCCCTCTTATATTCATTTCTCCACAGGCTGGACCGTTTACCACCAAACATCTGAGCGAATCACCTATAAATCTAGTAGCAAACCACGCACTAGATTCCTCAGTGGACCCGTGTCTGTGTCCATCTGTTTGTATTTGTTCTACTTTTCTTCTAATAGCCATAACTCCCTTCCCGTTTCTTTCTGCTCTTCTCTCGTGATTGGCTGTGGTCTTTCTTGTCCTGCGTTTCTCTCATGTTCATGCACTCATCGCATTTCCATCCTCACCTTCAGACGGCACTTTCCACGAACACGGGGTCACGTTTCATCCTTGCGTATGGAACATGGTCAGTCTATGTTATTTAACGTGATGTAAAGTGCGCAGGCCGAGTGACTGAGGTTGTTGGTGTGCAGTTCCGTCTTTCAGTTTAGAGCTGTTTGCTGGTTATTTATCTTTCAAGATCTGAGGTGGACTATCTGCTGCTGCTTTCAGTATGGAACTCACATTGGCAGTATTTAACGCTGGATGACGCACATAATCAGTACCTGAGGTGATCTTTGTCATAGCCGTTTATGCCGCTGTTCATCTGAATGTAAATATGTTGCATTGCTGAAATATCTGATAGCAATACAAGTATCTGGAATGTAATACCAATGCGCCAGCTGTACAGATCTTCGTCACAGTGCTTTATGCTGTCGTTCATCTCAATGTGAATATCTGACAGGACTGAATTGCAGAAATACTTTCTAAAATCGACATGTGTGTGTGTTGGTGTGTACGTGTAAATGGAAATATCTGCATAGCACACTGTACTAAACTGTATAATTCAGTGTAAACAAGCCATCGATCCTAATTAGATGTTAAATTTGCGGTCTGTGTTTGTGGAAAGAGCCGTACGTCCACTGGTCTGGCCATCTGTACATTCATAACCATCCCCTGACAGCAGAGAGAGTCTGTTCGGATCAAAGCTTCTGTTTCGTCTCTGTTTATTTCTGTGCATTTTTCCCACCTAAACCCCACTGAGGCGATGAGTGGAGGCGCAGGACCGGCCGGACACCATCAGGGCTGTATCTCAATCTTTTACCTCACTTCTGTTCTCTGTTCTGGTCACCTGCATGCGTCTGACATAGCGCTCTCCCCGCAGCGCATTACATTTATAACCTTGTGTTTCTGTTCTGTTCGGCTCGTAGTGTTTTGTTCTTTAAGGGCAGGGTTTGTTTAGGACAGATTTGCAGTATTATTTTATATTAGATCTGGTTTCTTTTTCCTTCTATAGCCTGATTCTGATCTTTGTTGTGTTGAACACTTATTTTATCTTCTGTAATGTTGATGAAGGTTAAATGTCAGCATGCAGGGCTTTAGCAGACGTGTATAAATGCTGATTTATTCTTCTGTTTAAATGTTATTATCCTTCTTTTTTTTAAGTGTAATTGAAATATTCAGAGACTAACGTCGTGCTTTCTGAGATGCATTTTTTTATTTGTTTTTTATACATCCTGATGTTTGTTGTTTGGTTATAAATTGTGTTTTTATAAGTGAAGATTTAGGAAGGTCAGGATATTCTCATGCAATATTTACACACGTAATACACAATATATGATGACAAAAAAAGTTAAAGACCCCATGAAATCAAAGTGTACTTCATTCATTTTACTTCAGCTTAGTCTTTTTATTTTATCAGGGGTCGCCACAGCGGAATGAACTGCTAACTATTCCAGCATATGTTTCACACTCATACACTACGGCCAGTGTAGCTGATCAGTTCCCCTATAGCGCATGTGTTTGTCCTGTGGGGGAAACCGGAGCACCCCCATCAACCGTTGTTTTTGTTTACATCCCTCAAAATGGTCTATAGCACTTTCCTACATGCAACTCAACTTCACAAGCATGAACACATATTAAAAACAACATCAATGTCGGGTACTCCGATAGACAAACACAAATGCTGTACACTAAATGAACCAAAAGATATATGCAGATTCATGCATTAAATATCAGTGAGGATATTTCCCCCTCTGATGACACGCACACAGGGAGAATGCCAATTAAAGTGTTTCTGCATCAAGTCTGATTAGAACAAACACAGTTCAGTACTGTTGACCGTTACAGGCTGCTGGAGATACACACACACACACACACACACAACACAGACACACACACACACACACACAACACAGACACACTACTGGGGTTAAACCCAGAATAAAAGTCATCTATGCATAATAGCTGTGCTTTAATTAATTCAGTCCTATATGCCTTTATTAGATAATAAAGTTTGCATTGGATTCTCAGTTTGCTCTTAATTATAAATACTACCTGAACACTAAATAAAGCTAGAAATTTGATAAAAATTTAAATATGATGCACAAATGCATTAACACCTCATTTAAAGTGATATATTTACTCCTATAATATATATTCTTTAAATTATTTATAATTAAATTTTAATTTTTTAATTTTTAATTTATCTAGTTATAATTTATTTTCATTAATTTAGTTTAGTGAATATTTAATTTATTTAATTTATTTAAAATGTAACAATTTAAAGTGATAAAAGTTTACTCCTATGATATTTATTTCATTTATTTATAATTTATTTTCACTTATACAATTGAATTTTCTTTAATTTAAAATCTCTATTTAGTTTTATTATTTAATTTTATTTTATCTATTTATAATTTATTTTCGTTTATTGAGTTTATTTAATATTTTTTTGATTTTAGTTAATTTTCTATTTAATTTTAATCATTATAATTTTCATTTATTTAATCTATTTATAATTTAATAAATTAAAGTGATACATATTTACTCCTATGAGATTTATTTGCTTATTCTTAACCCTAAATGTGCTTTTTAAAGGGTTTGTTCACCTACAAATTAAAATTTTGTCTTAGAAGGGTCACATTTGACTATTTTACATGTTGTAATATAATCCTGTGAATCCACACATCTTTGCACACTTTGAAAAAAGATGAGGATATGAAGACGCGTATTTCAGAAACTGCTAATCTACTGGGATTTTCACGCACAACCATCTCTAGGCTTTACAGAGAATGCTCCGACAAAGAGGAAATATCCAGTGAGCGGCAGTTCTGTGGGCGCAAATGCCTTGTTGAGGTCAGAGGAGAATGGCCAGACTGGTTCCAGCTGTGTGCGCTGTGCAATAGGGGCGGGATTAAACAAGATGACTAGACATTTTAAAAAGCGAGTGATTGGTCTGTATCTAAAAGTTCTGTTCAGAGAGGTCATGTTTTGATCCTCGATTGGTCTCACGCAGTCAGGTGATGTGATTTCACAGGTGAACAGAGTTCACTAAACTTGAACTTTGCACCGCAGCAACCTGCGAAACTTGTCGCATGAGCTTGCGTTTCTGGTCTGACGCATTCACGTGCATATGAATGGAAGTCTATGAGGAGAAAAGTGCAGTGTGACCATAGCTTAATTTAAATAACCCGGTCCAGCCTGATAATAGAAAGGTGTACCTAATAAAGTGGCCAGTGAGTGTGAATGTAAGTGTATAAAAGCAGTATATAATAAACAAAATATTAATAATAATAACATAAATAAGACATTACATCGTACTAACACAAGTGAAAATACATTCAGAGGGGT